TTAAGATCTCTTAACTCTGGTGGGTTTTTCCCTAGATTCTTGGGTTTTCTGTATACATAATCTTAGTTATAGCAGAAAAACCCCTAATTTATTCTCCTCTTTGCCCATGTTTATGTCAAATTTTTTATTATTTTCTCACTTTTCATTTGCTAAAATTTCTTTGAAGTTGTATCAGGCAATATTGATGTAGGCATCTTTGTATAGTTCTGATGTTAGTAGAAATAGATTTGGTGTTTTACCATTTATGATTAGGGTTACTATTGGCTTTTGTAAATGGTATTTATTACATGTGTAAGGGCTTTTAATTTCCATTTTGCTTAAGGTTTTTATTAGGAATAACTGCATTACTTTATTAAGTGCCTTTGAGCACCTCTTGCTACATGAATTTTCTCCAATTTGTTGATGTAAGTTGAGTCAGTGAGGCTTCTGGATATGAACCTCTGCAGCATTTCCTCCTATCTGCTTTTGGATATGTTGCTAGATTTTCTTTGCTGATATTTTACATCTTGCCATATTTTTCCATACTTCTTTTTTTTTTTAATATAACCTATCAAGTTTCAGTATTGAATGTATACTCATTTAATAAAAGGAATTAGTATGTGTACCTTTTTTTCCTCTAACAGAATAAATAACATTGAAAATAGCTATTCTTTAAAGAGTACATAAAACCTACCTTTGAAACAAATTTTTTTAAATATCTTTTGAGTTATCAGTGGATCTTTATTTTATTTATTTATATGTGGTACTGAGAATCGAACCCAGTGCTTCACACATACAAGGCAACTGAGCCACAGTCCCAGCCTAAAATTTGTTCTTTATCTTTTTAAACGATCTATTTTTAATTTACAAGTAAAAATTAAATGTATTTATTGTACACAATGTGAGATTTTGAATTATGTATACATTGTGGAATGGCTAAAATTGAGCTAATTAGCATATGCATTACCACTCTTTTTTGGGGGGGGTGAAAATTCTTAAAATACTTGGCAATCCTCAAGTGTACAATATATTGTTACTAACTAAAACATCACTGTAATCGATCTCTTGAACTTATTCCACCTATCTAAATTTGGCATCCTTTGCAGTCTCTGTATCTTCTCCAAGGGTAGATATTGAAGTCACTTTCTAGTCCTGGTCATTTCCAGTCATTGATCTATTGACTTTTTCCACTTCTTTTTTTGTTTGATATTAGCAATTTGAGTTTTTCTGGGAAAGTATCCCTATCCTCTAGGTCCTTTGCTATGTGAAGCAGATGTGAAGTACCCTGTTGGATCTCATGGGTGCATTGTAGGGGAGGCATGCTGGGGACCAAACCGTATGTGCCTGCACATGTTCTTAAGCACTGAGCTGTGCTCCCAGCCCTTGTACGGCTTCTCATCTCTACTACAGTTGTGGTTTTGCCTCTTTCTTTTCTTCTTTTTTTTTTTTCTTTAATCTCCTTTTTAAATGTGTAAAGGGCTTATTTTGTTTTGTCCTTTTAAAGAACCAATTTTTAAATTTATTCTGTCTGCATTTTAAATTTGTTTCATTGATTTGAGCTTTTATCTTTATTAATTTCCTATTCCTGGTTTCCTTTGGTTTCTTTGTGGTTTGGATTTATTTTGTGGGGTTTGTGCTTCTTTTTTAAACATGTCTTTAGTTCTGCAATTTTTTGTCTTTTAACGGTGAAGACATTATGCGGCTGCTTCATTAAGTTTCCTTCAAGTAGAGGTTAATTGTGCCCCCTAAGTTTGGATATATTTTCCTTCTCACAGCTTATAATTTCCTTTTTAATTCCTTTTTCATCCAGGGTGATCTGGAAGTGGTTTTAATTTCTGAGTACTTCCATAGGGTCTTCAAAGTGCATATATGTTAGCCCTTCCTTCCTTCCTTCCTTCCACCCATCCACATGATAAATGTGAGGTGACCAGTTTTTCCTGAAGTAGAGAAATTAACTATATGAGTTGTTGGGGCTTTAAGACCTTATCACAGTAAAGAGGGGCTACTCTGGGCTCTTTAAGAACTGTAACTTACTGGGGGCTACTCTCACATATCTCCAGGAAGAGAATCACTAAGCAGCTAGTTTGGGGTTTTGGGGGTTTTTTTTGTTGCTGAAATGACCTGTCAGATTCCTCTTTGAAGGTATCATCTTTCCAGTGATCTTTTTAAAAATATTTTTTAAAAGTCGACTACCTGAAGAGCATGGCACCTAATAGACGATTCATGTTGAAAAAGCAAAATGCTTTTTATAGACAGTCATACCTGTTTCTGGTATTTTGAGGTCAAAGTATAAAAATGCTCAAATCTTTTTTCTTTTAACAGACGGAGTATGCAAGGTTTGAGAATGGCCGATTTGTATACCGAATAAACCGCTCCCCGATGTGTGAATATATGATCAACTTTATCCACAAGCTCAAACACTTACCAGAGAAATATATGATGAACAGTGTTTTGGAAAACTTCACAATTTTATTGGTAATTCTTTTGTTTCTTCCTTCTCTAGACAGATTCTGCCACAAGGCTTGCTTGGGATAGTAAGAAAGGTGGCTGGGGAGCCACCAAGGCCTTAGCCAAGGGAACTTGACTGTTGGATGGGGCCCCAGGTGGTCAGCTAGCAGTGGAACTCACAGCTTCCATCTAGCAAAGTTGGGCCATATTTGGGCTTGAGTTATTAGAAGAGAAGGGGTCTCATCTGGGGGTTTCTAAATTTGGCAGAACTGGAATTCAGGTGGTGTTAAAAAAAGTGGTGACCCTAGGTTCTCAACTCCAGCTGCACGTTAGAAAGACCTAAAAAAAATGTTTAAAATCCCGATACCCAGGCTGACCCTTGGTCCACTCATTCAGGCTCTCTGAGGGCTGGACACAGGCATGCGTGTTTTTTGAAATTCCATGGGTAATTCCAGTGTTAGCCACAGCTGAGTCTCAGCAGCTGTGTAAAATGCAAATCATAAATGAGACAGAAGCTGAGTCCATAGGTTTGCATTTCAAACATGCCTTGACTCACTTCATGAAGGATTTGCAAGGCCTTCTAAGAGGTAACATATATTAAGAAAATATAAGCTCTCCTGTGAGAACTAGGGAAGAAAGTGTTCTTCACAAATTGAAAAAAAATATGGCAAAACTTAAGGGGCAGCTAAAGGGAAAGGAAAAGATGAATGTGCTCAAGACCCATGACAGGAAACCTACCAGTCCCCCACACAGTGCAATACAGGGGATTTAGTGATGTTTGACTTTAGGCCAACTCCTCCTGGGGACTTCATTTGAGAACTTTTGAAAGGTTGTGAGGCATAGCATTTTATACTTAGAAAATACACAGTAAGAGGGTTTTTTGTTTTGTTTTGTTTTGTTTTAATAAGGCTTAAAAAAAATACCAAAACAAAACTTGATAGAAACAATTTCATTAAAGAGGTACCAAGATAATACTCCAGTCACATATGCAGCCCTCTGACAGCTTACTCTATTACTCTTTGTTACTAGGATTAAGAACTAGAATACTTAGAGTGGGAATTCTTTACCTGGAGTTTTGGTTCTATTTGGTCGGTGGTTCTTAATCAGTGATACACTTTCTTTGTTATTTTTAAGCACTCATTCCTAAACCTGCACCCCATTCCAAATCCTGATTTATATTTTTTCCCTATTTCCATAGTGTAAATATACCCCCCATGAGCAATTTCAAGCTACCAATTGTTGTCTAGCTCATGAAATTTCTTACTATTAACTATCACATTCATAAGCCAGTAGAATCCAGCTCCCATATACCACTGTTGAAAATAAAAAACAATCTGTTTTTAAAATTAAAGCCCTTCACGGATTAAAAAGTTTATCACGTATTAAAGAGTAAAGAGTTTATCCAGGACACTCTTTATAATCTGAGGCCTGGGCCCCACTCCAGATGAATCCCTGAGGTGGGGCCCAGCATCATGTCTTTTTGTTTAATTTTAAAGCTTTCCAGGCAGTTGAAGTGAGCAACTAGGACTGAAAGCCACTGCTATAAGCAGACTGGCAAATGAGTTTCAGAGTTCACGGGGACGAGACTGGCATGCAACTGGCAAACAGTTTTGCATGTAAGTGTCATATATTCTAGGGAGAGAACTTAGTGGATTCTCAGATATACCTACTTGCCTCTACACTTCAGAAGCCAGCAATCGGGAAAAAGAATTTGGAATACCTGTTCATAGTAGCTATTCGTTAGTGTCTTTTCCTCTAGAGATCTTTTGGTGAAAACTGAGTGGTTCTAGTGTGGGCGCTGGCAAGGAGCAAGTACTTGTCAGAGATTTTTCTTTACTATTTAAAGAACAGGCACAGCAGCTTAGCATTCACGTGAGCAAGCTAGAATCCTGCTGTGGACTTAATAAACAGTTTCAGTTCTTGGTCAGAACTCTAAGTGGACGGCCACCACTTCTTGGAGGGCATCTTAGCTGATGCTTAAAAAACCAGCCTTGTCTGTTTCTGCACATTAAGGAAGATGTTATTCCCAAGTCCTGACTTTCTACCTCACAGTGCACAGTGGGATGAAATGGCCAGGAAATATCCGAGTGCCTGTTTCTTACAGAGCCCAGGTAATCGTCAGGAGTGCTTTCTCAGGACATGTGGCTTGAACCAGCATGGCTGTCCAGGAAACTCAGGTTCGATTAATAACTTTACAATGTGCCACTAAACAGTTAGACATTCCTTTGATATGAGGAATTGGTAACTACCAATAAGAATCTGCTGGAAATATCATAGCCTTAGAAAAACTGCAGTTAAGCCAGCACTCCTGGATTATGAAAGTCATGTCATCTAATTGATGAACAGGAGAAATTACGCTTTCCAGCTCTTCCTCAGGGACAGGCCATTATGAAATCTCCAACTGGACAAAGTTGGAGGGACTTTACTGGGTATTTTAGATACAATCCTTGTGTCATCAAGGCCAATTCCCGACCATGCTGGCTGATACAATGGGTTATCTGATTGCATCAAGTTGATTCAGAAGTTGAACTGAACCTGTCGATGTGGGGCCTAGTGACAGCAGTGGCACAGAGCTGAGAAAGAAGGCAGTAGGCTGTTTTCTTTGGAGGTCACATTCAGACATAAAGGTTGATGGAAACATTTTTGTTTTCTTTTCTCTGTTGAATCTCAATCACGAAGCCTCAACGAGGTATATTCTTTCAGAGAAAATAGGATAGAGCCTCGAGGGTTCAGGCACTGTGCTAGATAGATCTTTTGCTAAGTGTTATGTTATGAAATTCTCACTACAAAACTATGGGATCATTTTTATTCCCATTTTTGTGGGTAAGGAATATTAGGCTTCCCCAGGGTCACAGATCCAATAATAAAGACTTGATAGAAAAACCACTTTGCAGGATAATTTTAGAGTCATGAAATCACTACATTATGACCTTGCACAAGGCATTTGAAGTCTTCAGACCTCAGTCTCTGCCCCATTTATAAGCAAAGGCTTAATCTGCATTCTCCACCTCAAAGGTAATGATTGAGAGTGCTTTAATTCATTCAACTAAACCACGGGATTAGATGTATTAGCTACTGAGAAGCAATGCAGATAAAGCAGAGTGCCTGTACTGTAGTAATCTATACCCTTTAGGGTGACAAAAGTAGTTAAATAGACCATTACAATACAAAGTTATGGTTGCTGGAGTACCAGGCATCATGGAAGTACATGGTGAGGTGGGGAAATTCTCAGGGCTAACATTTATGTTGCTTTGACAGATAGACATTTTTCAGATTTACCAAAAAGGGGGTTGGGTGTGTTCTATAAGTGTATACATAGGTGTTGGGTGCTAGGGATGCTGTGGTGAGCTACCCAGGTAGGCAGCCATCCTGGGGTCTGACGAGGGGGAGGCAGGCATTCATCATGTTATCACTAAATGGATGGAAACTCTCCCTGGCTGGCGTCTGGCAGAGGGACTTAATGCTAAGAGACAGGATTGGACCTGGTTCAAGAGGATGGAGAAGCCTTCCTGAGGGAAAAGGAATTGAATAGGCCACCTGGAACAAGTTGAACCTTGAGCCGATTAACCCCTCAGCGCCTTCTCCAAGGGGAGTAGTAATACCACTCACTCATAGAGTTGTTGGAATGTCATATGCGACAAACTATAGAAAACATTTAATGCTTGAGTAGATGCAGAGAAGGGGGATCAATATGTGTTGGCTACTGTGTAAATTTCCATTCATTCAGCAAATATTTATTAAATGACCATGTGTGTTGTGCACTGAGCTAGTTACTGGGAAACATGGTCCCTGATCTTCAGGAATTTATAATCCACTGAATGAGATGGATATTTAAAGAAAAAAAAAATCACACAATTCTTTAGGGAAAATCAGAAGCATTATGAGACTTTAGTCAGGGCATATTAATTTGAATGCCTCTAGGAAGCAAATGCAGGAAACAGCCTGACGCATAGGAGGAAAATAGGTCTAGGATGGGCCAGACAGGCTCTTGAATCTAGAATGTTTTCAAATACCAAAGTAATAGGAGAGGGCTGAGGCTGTAGCTCAGTGGTAGAGCACTTGCCTCATATGCATGAGGCCGTAGGTTCGATCTTCAGCACCACATAAAAATAAATAAATAAAATAAAGATATTGTATCCATCTACAAATAAAACAATATTTTTTTTTTTAAAAGAAAGTAACAGGAGAGTAATTGAAGTGGCTTGAGTAGGGAAGTATAGTTGGATTTGCATGTAGAAACTTCCTCTGAGGATGGCGTGGGGACTGTGACTGAGTGAGGAGAGGAGGTAGCAATGACTTGGGCCAGAAGCTGTGGCCACGGGGTGAGGAAGGAGATGGCTTCAAGAGCCATAACTGAAGAAGTAACAGATGGTGCTTCAGCATACATGTTGAAAGGTAAAGCCTGTGCCCACAGAAAGAGTGTCACTGGACATGATTCCACCTGTACCTTGTCCTTTATATGGCAAATATTTTGCTGAGTCCAGGCTCTGCTGGTGAATACAGTGATGAGCATGGCACCCACAGAGCTCCTGCCTGTCACTGGCTATTGTGAAACAAAATGTAGCATGAATTTAAGAATAAGGTAGGAGAAAGAATACATTTTAAATGTTTTCATCACAAAGAAGTATGTGAGGTGATGAATATGTTAATTAGCCAGTTAATCAATGTATACATGTACCATGATATCACTTATTATTTGACAATTTAAAATATAATTAAAATAGGGCTGGGGATAAAGCTCAGTGGTAGAGCACCTGCCCATATGCATGAGACCCTGGGTTTGATCCCCTTATGGGGTGGGGGTGGGGGGGAATAGCTGCATAAGTAAGTGTGTGTGTGTATATGTGTGTGTACACAATAAAAATAATAAAGTAGGACACAATTGCTTAGGATAAATAGTTATACAGTGGGACAGAATGATAGAAAATTCCTTTAATTATAAAGAAATGGGGCCTCAGAAAATACCCAAACACATAAACCACACTGATTCTTTTGCTCTCTTCTTGAGCTTAGAAAATAGATGAGAGACCATCTATAAGGTCTTTCTTACTTATAACATCCTGCTTGGACGGGATTCAAGTTCTCGGAATATGTGTTAGATGGTGCAGAGGGAGGCCGACTGGATTCCTAACCCACTGATCTGACTTAAGACTGCTCTTCTCTAATTCAGTCATTGTCCTGGGACCCTGCGGGAGTGTGCCTTCCTCCATGAGGTGCCATATATATGTACCTTTTCTTTTCTTTTCTTTTTTAAACAGGTGGTAACGAACAGGGATACACAAGAAACTCTCCTCTGCATGGCCTGTGTATTTGAAGTTTCAAATAGTGAACATGGAGCACAACACCATATTTACAGGCTTGTAAAAGACTGAACATGATTATTTATATATATAGAATATCTGTATATACACACACCTATGTGCACACACACACTCTCCATTATTGAACGACTGACTGTAAACCTCACCACGTGGGTGGTGTCCTGGCCCCGAGGTCACCCCGACTTTTCTAAATCCTGTTTGAGTGAAGTCATTTTTTCATGTGTTCATACTATCATTGTAGCTGTGAAGTTCTGGTACAGTTGTAAAGAGAAATCGAGTTGTTTCTATGTGTTCTTCAGATCTGCAGCCCATAATTCCTCGGGAAAGGAAAACCTAAACAACCCAGGTCTCTCTCTGCAGAGACCTGTTTCTTATTGTGGTAGAAAATATTAAGACAGAGCCTTGCCCACGGGACATTTACTGCCTTTACACAAATGTATTTAGTTCTCTTTTTTTTTTTCCAACATGAAATTCTTGTTTTAAGATACAAGTAAAATTAATCTTTAAATATAAATGTAAATTAGTACACAAAACTAAGAATCTTTAGACTTATCTTTGTAACTAATTAGGGTGGAAGTTATAAAAAGAATGTAATTCACTAAATTATTTTTTAAATGAAACCTTTCTTTCTTTTTGAAACCAAATGTTAAACTATAGCCTTAAGAAATGCTTGGTAGAAATATCCTAATGAGACAAATTTGTACTTCTTTCCTCAAGGTTAAAACTAATCTTCTAATCCATTAAACTCTTGAACAGGTATTACAGAGGAAGAAAACTTCACCCCTTATCCTTAACATATATAGTATATTTAAAAATGTAAAATTGTATTGTACTAATGTGATGGTTGATTATTTAATGAAAAAAGAAAAGATGGCTCTTTTTGCAATAAGTAGATAAATACTGAAAAATCTAAACTTACAATGTTTATAGTCTTGTGTGTGCAGTTATATTTTATATGGACAACCAAATTTTTTATTAAGAGTAAACATCTGAACCATTGAAATTTAATAGCAAAATTTTAAAATTGGCATGAATACTGCACTGTGAGCTGCAAAGTATAGAGAATCTTGTGGCTGGGAGAGAAATTTCAACAACCAAACAAGTAAAAGGCTCATCAGGTTTAGCAACTCTGCTCCCCAGAAAATTGTAAGTATCCCTACCAGCCTGTGGATAAATTCTTTATTTCTGGTGACCCAAGATGCGTAGGAACCTGATGTGACTATATGTGTATGAATGCCATCGCATATGTACACATATACAGACATAGTTATTCAACATTTGTAACACCTGTTTAGTGTTGCTCAGTTTGCTAGGTGCTGATACCTATGTGTATCTCAGTCTGCATCTATACTTAGATACGTTCTCTCTAAGGATATTCATTTTCTAGACATCTCTCAGTAAGATGCAATGGCCCTTGTATGACCTAGGTTTAAGAGGCCCAATGTTCGTTCTCTCTCTCTCTCTCTCTCTCTCTCTCTCTCTCTCTCTCTCTCTCTCTCTCTCTCCCCCCTTTTCAAACAGGCTCCTTCAGGAGGTTCTCTCTTTGGGAGAGATTCAACTTTCCAAACATATTCCAAAGCATTGCCCAGGCAGAGTTGGTTCCATGTGGCCGCGTGTCTTGGGTTATTTTCATAAGTGCTTCACTGGGGAGAGAAAAGGGGCTACCCCTCGACTTTTTAGAGGAAAATGATGATCTTATAACCATCAGGAATATGTGAACACAGTAGAACATAAAATAAGTTTTGTAAGGTGCAAAACATCACCAACACTAGAACATAGTTTACCACATCTGACACACCCACTTCCTCACCCCGCCATGTGCTCTGACCATGCTTGTACATTGTCTCATATCTTGTGGTCATGAGTATAAGGGTTTGCCTTGGCTTATGATGAAAGGAAAACACTAGACTAACCCTCATGTCTCTCAAACACATCACTGGTCACTGGGAAGACCAGAGAACATGCAAAACTTTCCCACTTGGAATGCACATCCTTGCATAAACCAGCAGGGTGGTGCTCATCTTCCCTCCATACATAGTAAGGCCTGCCTTTGTTCCCTGGTTCCAAGCCAGCCTCTGAGGAATTGCCCTAGTTTTCTGCTCTTCTGTCTGGTCTTCAGCCCAAGCACTTACG